GCAACCAAAGGAGCCCCACAACAAACGGCCCCAACAATGCAAGACGCAGCCGCACTCATTGCTTCATTCCAAACGGAATATAACAAAAGAATGATGGAGATGATGTCCGTGATGGATAGGGCCACAAAAATGATGACTGCATTCGGTGAAATAAATCGACAATGCTAGCGAACCATACGGAAGATCTACGCATAGGGTCCTGGAATTCCGGAGGAATTTTCAAAAAACTCAACCTTTTGGACGAGATAATAAACAGATTAGAGCTCGATATCGTAGCCCTTCAAGAAACAAAATTAGTGGAAAGGAAGAAAACTAAATTTCCAGGCTACGATATCTATAGAACTGACCACAGAGCAAGATCAGGAGGAACAGCCATACTAGTTAAAAAAGGCTTAGAACACGAACACATCCCAACACCAGGTGGACTGGTCACAATGGAAGCCACGCTAGTAAGATTAAAGGCCAACAACGAAACACTAAAAATAGTGTCAGCTTATGTCAGACCTAACGAACCGATATTCGATGAAGACTTGAGCCTAATCCTCGACACAGATGAACCTACGGTAATTATTGGAGACCTTAATGCGAGATCTCCCAACTGGTTCGATAGAGCGACCAACAACAACGGGAGACGTCTTTGCGGCCATCTCGAAAATAGACCAAATACATATGTGATCGGACCAACAGAACCGACCTGTTTTCACGGACAACTTCCAACACATATAGACATTGCAATCCTACACAACGTGGGTCAACAATACGAGATACACTCTCTAAATGAAGGCGATTCAACGCACAATGTAATCGTCCTGACCCTGGGAGCAATAGAACTAAACTATTTGCAACCCCACAAAAGAAAAATAACAAATTGGTCAAACTTCAGAAGAATTGTGAGCGAAAACATCGGTAACATTCCAACAATAAATAACATCACAGAACTAGAAGACACAGTAACAAAACTAGAAAATACGATAATTAACGCTATCGATGCCAGCTCCAAAACGGAAACTGTAGCAAGACAAAAAGGAAGATTCGGAGACATAAGTCACGAACTACAAGAATTAATCCAAGAAAAGAACAGAAAAAGAAGAAGAGCTTACCGTACTAGAACAGTAGAAGACAAAAGGATTGCAAATGAGCTAGACCGGGAAGTTAAAAGACAACTACGTAATCACAGAAATGAAAGCTGGGACAACTATATCCAAGATCTAGACCCTAACAAATCCGCCTTCTGGAAATTATCGAAAATCCTCCGACAGGACAAGAAACCCATACCTCCACTACATGGATTAAACGGGATTGTCCACACGGAAATAGACAAAGCTGAAGTCCTAAAGGACGAACTAGAAAGAGCATGTAGAAATAATGAAAACCCCAACGAAGACATAGATTTCGAAGAAGAGGTAGAAAGAACAGCCAGAAGAATAAAGAGAAGAAAGGGCAGAGTAGGCATTACACATACCTCCCCCGAAGAAATAAAAGAGCTAATAAAGCTAACTAACGCCAAAAAAGCCCCAGGTCCTGATAATATCACAAACAGGGCACTGAAAAATCTACCCAACAAAGCTATTGTCTACATAACAAACATCGTTAACAACATGCTTAAACTACGATATTTTCCGGACAGATGGAAAGAGGCACATATAATCATGATAAAGAAACCAGGGAAAGACGGCGCTTTTCCGCAAAATTATAGACCTATCAGCTTATTATCATCAATAAGCAAGATAGCAGAAAGAGTTATACTAAAAAGACTCAACGATGAATCGGAAGCATTAGGCACCATACCAGAAGCGCAATTTGGATTCAGAAGCGAACATTCGTGTGAACTACAAGTTCTACGGTTCACGGAATTTGCAACGAAAGGTTTTAACGAAAAAATGTACACGGCAACAGCATTTCTGGACGTCAGTAAAGCATTTGACAGGGTCTGGCACGAAGGACTCAACTATAAAATGAAAACCATGGGGTACAGCGAGGCAATGACATGCCTCCTTGGATCATACCTAGCCAACAGAAGGTTCAGGGTTCGAACAGGGGCAACCCTGTCCGAAGTCGGAATCCTGGAAGCGGGTGTGCCTCAGGGAGCTGTGTTGTCGCCTTAATTGTATACCATCTATACGGCCGACACGCCAAAAGAACCAGGATCCCTGCTGAGTCTTTACGCTGACGACACAGCAATAGCTGTTAGCTGGAGGAATCCAGATCATGCAGCTAATCATCTGCAGAGAGCACTAAATAGATTCGAAAGATGGTGCATCAAATGGAAAATCGCCTTAAACCCGGATAAAACACAGGCTGTAATGTTTAGTCACAGAAGAAGTGTACCTAACCGCGAATTAATGATCGGAAACACCCCAGTAGATTGGACAAATGAGGCCAAATACCTAGGGGTGTTACTAGACAAAAAACTCACCTTCACACAGCACATCAATCAACAAACATACAGAGCTAAAGCGCTGAAAAGTCAGCTCTCAACGCTTATCGGCAGAAGAAGCAAGCTAAGATTTAAAACCAAAATCAGAATAGCTAATAGCATTATCCTGCCAGTCCTATCATATGCCTCCGCAGCATGGGGACACACCTGTAAAACAAACAGGAAAAAGATACAGACAGCGCAAAACCAATTGATAAGAGATGCTCTAAATCTACTAAAATATGTACCTCTGAGAAATTTATACAGAGACTCAGGACAAACAAGGATCCTACATACAATGGATAAAAAGGCATATGAACTTTTTAACGGACTGAATAACCACCCAAGTAGCATGCTAAGAGAGCTGACTAATTACAATGCAAACACCAGGACACTACACAGAAGACCTAAACAGCAAATAGCCGGATATAGGGTCCCAAACTAATAAATGAAGAATGAGATGGTCGCAAAAACGTCAAATAAAAAAAATGCAGTCATCAGAAAAACAACCCCCAAAAAAATCTTATTTTTAGGACTCTGGCGAGAGGGTACAGGTGCCAAGGCACTTAGTTAAGGACAATATACACCGGGGTGTGTGGAGGCCATATACACCCTGCAATGCACACCCCACCACACCGCACACATATTTAGCATGTAAGAATAAAAGGGTAAGAATTGTGCAGGCATTTTATTGTTCCATCGCCAAGGAAGACCCCCAAACCAAAAAAAAAAAAAAAAAAAAATGGTTGTTTTTCTTTTAAATTCAGCAAATTTATTTCAAACTTAAATTCAATTATCTCAACTTAACTTAACGTAATTCATACCAATTTTCTATATAGAAGACCCGTCAGGCCTTCTATATACCGCTGATGCGGAATTGGCCCTTAAGGCGGATCAAATGAATACTGATCCTTTCGCGACTCCCGAGCACTGAGACCATGTGCGGCAAACATGAGCTTGGTGGCCGGACCCTCTCGGGTGCCCAGCCGGCGAGGAGAACAAAATTTATTTTGCCAAATCGGCGGCTGAGTGACCGAGCACACACATATCTTTCCGGACATGAAGTCGACAGCCCAGGCTGTCGACTTCATGGACGGAACACACACGCTATTTTTATTCTTTTTATGTTAGGGACTTCAGTCCCGAAGTGCAGTCCGAGTAAAATCAATAGAGTCAGTAAAGTAATTAGGGAGAAAAGCCTAGATGTGGCTACCCCTACAGTTAGGTGGCATAACCACAGTCATTAAAAACAGGAGATGTCTCATTACCCAGGGCATCTCAGGTAACTTTCAGATCATAGCCTCCTCACGTCAGTCGTACGATGAGGAGGGGTGGAGGAAAAGCCTGGGGGTCAGATAGGTACCACTTCAACTAGTGAAGTGTGACCGGTTTGATCTTCGGACATGTGGATCCCATTCTTATATTGGTATACACATGTTCCTAGGGGTAGGGTTGATCGCTTAGCGTGATTGTGTGTGTACGGCTTGCTCTAGTGGTTGGTGAAAATTATTTCCTAGTCTGTTGGTAAGTTATCAATTTCTGTTACTTTTTCCATTTTTCTGGTGTAACCCCTTCAAAGAAGCAGGTATTATAAAGAGTTTTAGATCCATTCGTCTCGTAATTTTATCATATGATTTAATTTCTTCTTCGGTTATATCTGGAAGTTCCTCTTATCCTCGATTTTGTATTGCTGGAATTTCTACCTCTGGAAATGTAAGCATCTCGATTATATAATGCTTTGCAGTAATCTTCGATAATTTGCAGGATTTCTTGTTGTTCATGTACGGCATGTCCTTGTTTATTTTTCAACTTATAAATATTACTCGTTCCTGTGTTCAACTTTCGTTTTAGAACTTTTAGGCTTTTATTTTATTCTATGGTATTAGTTGTTTCTTTAGTGCTGAAGTTCCTTTACCTGTCAATACACAAAACCAAATATGTTTCATTAGTAAAACCTTAAATAGGCCTAATAGCTACGCCCAAATAGCAACTATTTCTACAGAGCTATTGATATAGACTTCTACCATAATTAAGGCGTTAAGCCTTTTAAAAGGATAGTCAAAAGGACCTGTCAATACACAGAACCAAATATGTTTTATTAGTGAAACTTTAAACAGGCCTAATAGCTTTGCCTAAATACCAACTATTTATACAGAGCTATTGATATAGACCTTTAACATAATTAAGGTTGTTTTACTTTTAAAATGTAACAGGTACCTATATAAAAATAAAAAGACTAAGATGGCTGAGAAAGGTCTATAGGATGGATAATAAAAGGATACCTAAAATGGCTCTACTGAGAGATCAAATCGCCAAAAGTAGAACGAAAAAGATGCAAGGAAAAGATCACCAAGATATTGAAAATAGAAAGCGCTGGATAGAGTGGAATGGGGGATAATGTAAAATGAGGAATAGTATGTTTATATGTTTTGGGTATAGTTTTAAATTTATGTATTTAAAAATTGTTGGCATTTAGCATTAATTAGCATTCATTTGTAAACGAATTACTGTAAAAATGTAATCATAAACTTCTATTCGAGGTGTAAAAGACCTGTAAGGTGAATAAATAAACGCTGCTACTTACCATGATAACTGAAGCAATATGAGCAGTAAATATGGCGAAAACTCCACCACTGCCCCCCTTCAACTCGGCTATCGTCTTTAACCCATTATCATGTGGCGTAAATCTGTCTAGGACAGAATGAGTTAAGCATCCTCCAATAGCACCGACAATATAGACAACAAGGACTCGCCAACTGTGAACCATCTCTAAAGGTATTCCAATGATAATTTGAATTATCACATTACCGTATAAGTGCATTTGGCTGAAATGAAGAATAGATAATTTACAATGATTGAAGAAAATGTCTGATTTTTTATTTTTCTTCTTCTTCATGTGCCATCCCCTCCAAGAAGGAGGACAGCAGAAAGAGATCAGCAGAAGTGTAGTTGAACCAAATGCTCAAATTATTTAACCAAGAGATGCGTCTTCTTTCACGACTCTTTTTACCCTGTATTATTCCTTGTATCATTAACTGTAGCAGGTTATAATGCTCGTCCCTCATAACATGTCGCAGATATTCCAATTTTCCAATTTTAATAGTATTTAAAACCCATATTTTCCCATTTTTGTCAACATTTCGAAGTTTGTGACTACTATTGGCATTCTTGTGCGTTTAGTTTTTTTGGCATTATTATGACGTCACCTAATCTCCGGGAATGATTCCTGTACTGTATATTGTATAACACAAGTCGACCAATATTCCAATCTGCTCGTTTTCTATTAACTTTATTATTTCTACTGATATTTAAACAGGACCTATTGCCTTGTTGCTCTTTGTTCGTTTTATCGCTTCCAATAGTTCATATTTTGTTATATCTGGACCGTTGTCGATACTTTTCCTTTCTAGTAATATCTCTGTTCTTTGGACCCTAAAAACCTTTAGATATATTCCTGCTGGCTTTTAAGTTTTTCCCCGACGACTAGAATTGTTTTCACGATTTTATACATCAGTATGTTTGGCATTTTTTTATTATTCGTATCATGTTTTTCTACAATCTACTCAATCTCTTCGTATCTGTCACCATAGCATCTTTTTGGTACCTCTCTGATTTGTCTCATTATTTCTATGTGCAGCTATACCGTTATACCTGTTTCTCTCTCTGGTTTTATAAAATCTCCTTTCTTCCATGAGACCAGAATCTGCTGTTTATTTGTACTTTGGACTAAATCGATTGAGAATATATTACTTCAGTCATCAGAGATGAAAATGCATACATACAATTACTCTAACGAAAGAATTTGAATATGAAGGATATTAGATTTATTACTAAACTATATTCAATAAACAAAAATTCAAAATGTAAAGGATAAAAACTTAAAGACAGATACGTTAATCAAGAAAAATTGTGGATATCTGATAAGATCCTCAAACTAATGGACAAAAGAAGGAAAACCAAGAATGACCCAGACAGATATATAAAACGATATATATATATATATATATATATATATATATATATATATAACAATAAGAAGGAAAATCAGAGAAGCGAAAGAAAAATAAGCAATGGAAAGATATAGCACGCCAGGATGATCCAAATTGTTACGTTAGGAATGTCCTACGGTTAATTTTCGCAAAACACTCCTGGTTCCAAAAAATACAAAATTAAACTTTAATAGTATACAAGGCAACTATCGAACACAGTGATTAATTAAATCTTGCCCAAGTACTTTCGATCAATAGATCATCTTCAGGGGCATTTCGTCAGTTGTGGCATATCCGACATGAGTAGAATGTCATAAATGTAAATTTGGACATAACAATACAATACACAAAGACAAACAAACACTCTAAAATTTTTAAAAGGAGAAGCTACATGTTACATAGAAACCGGAGACAGAGAATCATTCTCTTTTACAGTCACAGGGTTCATACCTATTTCTTTATACACTCTGTTTCTCTTCACTGTACCTCTATTACACTCCAGCATTGTGTGAGTAACAATGTCGGAATACTGGCAGTAAAGGCATTTATCTGTATCTGTCTTTCTTAATCTATGAAGATACGCCTTAAAACAGACAATCTACCCACTCCCTTAGGCGTGGGATTAGCATCTTGGTCCACTGGGCAACATCGACCTTGTTGTTCCATTCTTCTTGCCATATTTCCATTGATCTTTCCCTTTCTTTTTTTTATAGCTGTTGTCAAATGTTCTCTTCTCTCATAGAGATGTCTCTTTTTTACTGCTAACCTAACACATGCAGAGGAACACAACCCGTGATAGTCCACAAGGCCGCCATTAATGAAAAATTATTATTAATTATTGTGTATTTATACAATAATTATTGTATTCTACATATTTAAAGTGGTAATTCAATTATTAAATTAGCGTTTTGGATTTTTTGTATTGTGTGAAAGACAAGTTACATTTTCCTACTATTCTTTGTAATTTTTTTACTTTATATGCCCTGGAGGGGGGGAAACCCCCTCTGGGTGCGCCACAGCGTAGAGTGCATGTATTTTTACACAATAATCTTGAGATGTACCTACTGTCAAGTACAAGAACGAAGTTCGAGAGAGGAGTTTTGGCACGAGGGCCGAGAACGAAGTCTAAGAATGCTGCTTTGATTCAACGTTTTATACGGAAAAGAACCGCCAACTTTTAATGGTTTTAACTAACTTAAATGTCCCAAACGGTGGGTTCTAAAAAGCCATTTTTTCTATATATTTACGAAGAAACTGTGTAATGATAAAAAATAAATCTAAAAGATGTATTGCTCTTTTACAAGTTCCGAGAACAAATAAACCTTATTGACCCAGTCCTAGGTAGACAAAATCTTGTTTTTAGTAACGAATTAGCGAAACGGTTGGTACGATCAAATAACATTCATGAGCAGTTGTGGTCGTAAAAATGATACTTTTAATATTGAGAAGAAAAGAACTGGCGGTAAAATACTATCGAAGTGTGTTTGAATATCAAAAGAAGCAACCTGTTTTAGAGGGAGTCTCAACGGAAAACGAACAAGACAAACAACTCGTTTTTTTTAGGGCTGAGATATGTCGAAAATAAATAGAATATATTTTCGTGTTTTATTAATAATTGTAACATAAATGATGGGGGATTAATTGGGGCTATGTTAAAACTTTAACCATAAGTATATTATATGCTGTTATGTGTATGTATGTGGCGATTTTTTGTGGGTTCATTTTTGGTATGAATCTATTAATTTTAAGTTATTGTTTGCTAAATTTTTAAAAATTGCTTCGTTTATACATGGTTAGTAATGAGGAACTTTACATACTTCTACCATATGTAGAGTCCCTCAGGGAGCATATCATGTGGCCACTAAAAAATGTCAACTCCTCTTCTTTATTAATTAACAGGGTGATTTGTGTAATTGACCATTTATTTCATTTTACTGTAGTGTTTATACGGCTCATTTGATTTTTTTAATTTTTGCATGATACAGTACACTACTATCAAGCATTCGACTAGTATTAGCTAAACTAAAAAATTCCAGGACTGGCTTTGGAAAAATTAATTTAGGGATTCGTATTAAATATTACACCCTGTATATATATTTTTTAAAATACAATAAGTGATTTTTAAACAACATAAATAGCCAATGAAAACGACATATGCGACAATGTTGTCGCACTTTTATTAAATTTTTAGTGAACGATCAAATCTTACCAAAAATAGAACAACTATAATGAAGTATCAAATTATAAGGTATTAATTTAAACAAATGTTATAAATTTCAAACATTTTAATTGAAATGTGAAACTGAGTCACTGCACAACAAAAAACAGTAACTAATAACAATAACGAAGAACAATTTAAAAAAAAAAACTAAAAATATGTACATAGTTATGATAAACCCATAAATTAGAACTGGAAAAGATACAATAATGGTAACAAAATAAAAATAATTCAAAATAGATTTTCGAAATGGAAGCCTGCAGCCTGTACACATTTTTGTTGTCGAATTGTTAATTGACGTATTGAATTACGGATACTCTGGGGATCGTTTCTAATAGTATTACAACAATGTATAATTCTATCAATTAATTGTTGTCGGTTATTAATATTCACTGCGTAAACTAGTTGCTTCAATCGTCCCCAAATATGGTAATCAACGGGATTGAAATCAGGGGATCTTGAAGGCCACGAAATAGGACCTGCACGTCCTATCCACCTGTTGCCATAAACAATATTCAGATGTTGTCTCACTGCCAGTAAAAAGTGTAGGGGTGCCCCATCATGCTGAAAATACATCCCTCGGATATCAACGTTTGCGTTGGCAAGCAAATTCGGCAAAATATTTTGTAGAAAGTTCAAATAGACCTGCCCTGTTAAAGGACCATCAAAAAAGTGAAGACCTACTAATAGGTTATTTATGACACCAATCCACACGTTAACCGAAAACCTTAAATGAGAACGACGTTCTCTAATAGCATGGGGATTTTCTTCTGCCTACACATGTGAATTTCGTGAATTATTTATCCCGTCTTTGGTAAATTGGGCTTCATCTGTAAATAGTGTCCTGTATAGCGTTGGTCGATTATTGTTAATCCATCTACAAAATTCTAACCTATCGATCTCATCTCCAGCATGTAGTCGCTGAACCATTTGAATGTGATATGGGTATAGATTATTTTTTTGTAAGATTCTACTTACTTTTGATTGAGTAACATTGAGTTACTCAATCTAGTCTTACTTACTTGTCTAGTGCTTATTGTAGGGTTCATAGTAACGGCGTCCATAATGTCATCTTCCTGCGCTTCATCTACATGTCGCTCTGTTGTTCCACTAGGAAAAGTGCCATTTTCTCGCAAATAATTAAAAACTGACCCAAATGTTGGATGACTGGGTGTTAGTTCGACGATTAGGAAATCTCCTGCGATATTCTCTACTAGCAGCCCTACCATTCCCATTACAGAATCCATAAACAAATATTATGTCTGCATATTCTGTGGTCGAAAACTGATGTGGAATTTTGAACGAAAGTAACAAAAGCTCTACCAAAACTAACACAATGTACTTAACGTAGATATGACAGAAGAAATATGTATTCTTGTACACATAAATGACAATTGATAATGACAATAATGACAATGGGTATAAAATATTAAGAAACGTCAAACGGTCAACGCCAACCTTCATTTTAAACTTTTTTAGATTTATTTTTATTTAGTACAGTTGATGCAATGTATTATTATTTGACATAAAATTTTAATCATTTACAATCAACAAAAACTAACACATACAAGAGGTTTGACTTTTAATCAATTTAATTTAATATTTATCGAAAATAATGCCCCAATGCGATCTATGAGTAAATATTTAAAATTGAAAAACAATTGATTCTATCGTAGAGATAATACAAAGTGACAGTAAAAATGTTAATTTTCTACGTATTAGATTATGTTGTAGGAACTTATTTTAATTAAAATGTTTGAAATTTATAACATTTGTTTAAATTAATACCTTATAATTTGATACTTCATTATGTTTGTTCTATTTTTGGTAAGATTTGATCGTTCACTAAAAATTTAATAAAAGTGCGACAACATTGTCGCATATGTCGTTTTCATTGGCTATTTATCTAGTTTTAAAATCACTTATTGCATTTTAAAAAAATATATACAGGGTGTAATATCTAATACGAATCCCTATATTAATTTTTCCTAAGCCAGTCCTGGAATTTTTTAGTTTAGCTAATACCAGTCGAATGCTTGATAGTAGTGTACTGTATCATGCAAAAATTTAAAAAATCAAATTAGCCGTATAAACAATACAGTAAAATGAAATAAATGGTCAATTACACAAATCACCCTGTTAATTAATAAAAAAGAGGAGTTGACATTTTTTAGTGGCCACATGATATGCTCCCTGAGGGACTCTACATATGGTAGAAGTTTGTAAAGTTCCTCATGACTCACCCTGTATGTATGAGTGCAACTTACAGAATTACTTATTATCTATTTACATCTTCAGCAGACTTAATTTCTAGTTTAATCAGTTCTTTCTTAATTTATTAAGTGACCTGTTCTTTTGTGGTAGGATCTTTTTATTAGTTGAATCTCTGAACATATTCTAGAAGATTAAATAGAATAACAATATAAAGGAATAATACTTACTCTGAATGTAAAAATATATACGTGACGTATCTATAAATCTCTCGCCTTTTGAATGGCGTAAAAACTAGTGCAGCTTCTATCGGATAAGTTGGACATAATGCAGCATTGGTGTAGTAGAGAATAACTTGAATAATGGATATTATCAACATTCCTACTATGTTTTTATTACACTTTACTTCGCTTTCGTAACTTCCTGTGACTGTGACTGTTCTTCTTAATTTTAAAGTTTTTCGATTCATCTGGGGTACTATTATAAATCTCAGAACTCTACAAAAGATATAATGTTTACATAAAGGAACACGTTATTTAAGAAAATGTAAGGATAACTTTAAACTTTTTTCTCTATATGATTTATTTAAAGAGACTAAAAAACATACTAATGTAAAACTCTTATCCCGTAGGCCTACTCAATAAATTAATATTTAGTACTGCAAACTCTCCAACCTCCATTGATCGGAAATACCAACAATATAAACAATAGCCTGACAGTTAACATCTTAATACCAATAACATCACAAACTTTTGGATCTTTACCTTATATTCCATTCTTAACACCAAAACTTTAAATTATAATAACTCAAATTGTTTAAAGGTTTAGAAAACATAAAAATTGCCACTAGAAATGTTAAATCCATAGAGCATTTATACACTAAAACTAAAGATCCTCTAACAACCAAGAAAAGTTCTAAAGTAGTGTATCAAATACCTTGCTCAGACTGTGATAAGGTTTATATAGGAGAAACTTCTCGAACATTACACACCAGAATTATTTTTCACAAAATGGATGTAAAAACAAACAAATCACAAGCTTGTGCATTAGCCGACCACTCCATTAATATAAATCACACATTTAATTGTTCACAAGCTTCAATTCTAGAGCGACAGAAAAATGAACAAATGCGGTAATTTTTAGAAATGACACATATACAGAAAAATAAAAAATGTATAAATAAAAAATCAGATATTGACAAATTAAGTAACATTTATTGTTACATATTAACATATCAATAACCAATTGGCATAACATCATAATCTCATTTTCTATCGACATCCCAACCTTAAAAAATTTATATATTATATATTTAAGACAAACTGACTGGGCTAATTTATTATTTTATATTTTATATTTTTATCGACAATCAAATTAATAATAATAAAAACTATTGTTACTGGTTTTGCTTTCCACATAAAATAACTGTATATTCATTCATATATGTACATTAATCAAACCAACATGACAATTGAAACTAGTGTTACGTAAAATATGAGTCATATTAAAAACCTGTAAACATGTTGTTTATTCTCATTTATGTTCTAGATTTTATTAGCTGACAGAAATTCCAGGTAATATCTACCGGAAACGGTCGGTCCCCTACGATTCTAAGGTTCCAGAAGCAGGTCAAATGAAGACCCGTCCGATTGACTTTCTAGTCTAGTCAAAGGGAATCGCCGGAACTCTCGAATAACGGCAAGTTACATAAATAGAAACCTTTTTGTAGAAAACAGTTAGTCAGAAGATAATAGCGCGCCGAGTTTTAAATGTAACGCTCGTATTATAAATAAATTATGTAATTAGTATTGTAAAAGTATGTATTAGATATGCAGTGTTTTATAAGAGATAGTGTGTCTTGGGGGATTTAATGTTTAGAGTCCAAGATGGAAATGGTTTCATCGATAGGAATGTTGATGAACAAAGAAACAATGTCAAAACTAACTAGTATATCTGAGGGTGAGATAGACATATTTTTCAGAAGATCAATAAGACGAAAAGAGTTTTTGACAAAAGACGAAGCTTATTCGGCTAATGGTTGTAAGGATAAAGCGAGATGTTTTGCCAATTTCTGAGTGGGGCAGTGGCATGCATTGACGAAGGGCCTTAAATCTGTAACCAATGCAATGCAATTCAAACCTCAAGATTTTCCAAGATGTGCATAAACATAAACCGCAAAAAAATTACATACATGAGCTGGTATATTCGGTGATCGACTAGTGGGATCATTTTTTTTATCTGGCAGTTTGTAACAATAATTGATTTCCTTATTGGGGGTTAAAAGGGGGGACTGAACTAATTACTGTGTTTGGAGATAGGGTAAGCAAATAAATTGAAACGTTTGCGAACGGCTACTCCTGTTTTGGTTAGAGAGCTGACTCGTGGATAAGAGTTTCTTTATTTGGGGGACTTGGATAAACTAACTACGAAAAAACATCAAAAAATACTTACAAAGAAGTCCTGGACAACACTGCACAAAAAGATTGCTAAAGCATTTAAAATAGGATGCCGTTAAAAAAAAAGAAAGAGCAATTATAATTATTTTAAATAAACTCGAAAATGTTTATATTATCAATCTCAGAGACGCGCAAAAGATTAAGAATATTTTTTGGTGTTTTATTATATACGGGATGAAACGAAAATGTTACAAGTTTGACTGGTAAAGTGTATTTACAATTACTGGAACACGTGTTCCATTAACTTTGCCTTGACCGATATAATTAATACTGATTAACAATATGATGAAGATTATTTGACTTTTTAAAAGGATGGTGCACCACCACATTATGCTTTTCTTGTTCGTCAATATTTAGACCAACATTTTTAAACGTCATTAGATTGTGAGAAGAGGTAGCATCGAGTACCTTCCTCGGTCACCAGTTTCAACATTTGATCAAGTAAGGAATAAGTAACCAGCTAAAAATGGTAATTTTAAAATGTATCTTTTTTAAATAAATAAATCAGATAAAGTAATAGACCGAATTTATTATTTTATTAATGAGTTATTGCCTCGACAACTATGATCATTGGCATGGTACAGTCAGGTACCTAGTGTAGTGTGTGTGTGTGTGTGTGTGTGTGTGTGTGTGTGTGTGTGTGTAGAGTAATTGTCTTGATACTTAGCAAAGTCGACGTCATTGTCTGTGTTTGGATACAATTAGCGTCTCTAAGAGACGCTAATTGTATCCGAACGTCTGCGGTCCCTCCGGTGAGTACCGAAGACCGAATTTAAAACTAAAAATAATCGTGTATTTATAGGTAATTGCAAGGGCTTTAAAACGATATCTTATTTGACACCAGTACCGTTAAAAAATATTGGAATATTGGGGTAAGCAAAAAGGGGAAAAGGGGAAAAAATTGAAATAAAAAGATATAAGAAGCTTACGAAGCCTTGTAAAAATAGCAGAATGATTACAAATTATATTGAGTAAAGTATATTGTATAAACAATCATTTTTAAATGATAATATACAAATCATATCATTTTTCAATGATAATATACAAATATTAATACTACAGGAAACAAAACATAAAGGAGTAGATGTGGTTCTAAAACCATTTCCTTGTGGCATTTTTATATTATCTATGGAAAAAAAATTAATTAAAAATAGATACGAAAAAATTAATTAAATATAAAACAAATTACATGTTAATACTATTTTTCTCTGAGGCATTTTTACAGGTAGTTTATATAATCAACTGATTCAATCTCAGGAACCTCAAAAATGTTAGAAATATAATTTTAAAGTCCTTATCATCATCATTATTCTGTCTTTACAACCCTGCGTGGGTCCTAGCCTCCTCAAGAATTTCTCTCCAGTTGTCCCTATCCATCGTCTTCCTTCACCAAGCACGTATTCCTATATTTCTCATGTCTTCATCGATGTTATCAAGAAACCTTGGTCTGGGTCTTCCTCTTCTTCTCTAACCGATGGGAATATCAAGGAACGTTTTTCTAGCTGGGTCATTTTGTTCCATCCGCATTACATGCCCTATCCACCTCAGAAGTTCTATCATAATATGTTTTACGATATTTAGTTCCTGGTGTGTTTCTATATACCAGGAACCACGAAGAAGGACGAGTATTACTGATGTTGTGGAACGCATAGCGGAACTAAAATGGAACTGGGCAGGCCATGAAACGCAGTAGAGGAAGACCACCTACACGTTGGGCCGACGACATCAGGCGGATCACTAAAAATTGGCAACAAAGAGCACAAAATCGTGAGGAATGGAGGAGTTTAAGGGAGGCCTATGTCCAGCAGTGGACGTGATAAATAGAGGCTGGATGATGATGATGATGATGATATTTCTATAAATATCGAAGTTGTATCGTCTTCTCCACATTTCATTGTCATTCACTGCATAGATTCGCATTAGTACTTTGCTTTCGAAACATCCTAACATGTTTTTATTACTTTTTGTTACAGTCCAGGTCTCTAAACCATATGTTAGGACTGGGCGTATTATTGTTTTGTAGAGTTTTATTTTTGTATTTCTCGATATAATTGTGGATTTAAGGAAGATATTGAGTCTAAAATTGCTGGCCGTGCAAATTCTGCGGTTTGTTTCTGCGGTAGTATTATGTTTAGTGTTAAGAAGCGGTCCAAGGTATACAAATTCGTTCAGTTCTTCAATAACGTCGTTTTCTATGACAAGTGGTCGCAGGATTTGTGGTTGCGTGCTTATTTTCATATACTTCGTTTTGTTATTGTTTATTATTAAACCCATTTTTGTAACTGATTTTTTTATTGCTACATACGCTTCTCGTACAGCGTTTTCCGTTCTTCCAACAAGGATTTGCCCTGATTTATTATATGATATATTATTTATTGAACCAATGGTTGTAATTTGTGACATACGTACTACTTTTTCTAGGGCCATATTGAACAGTATACGGGAGCAAAGGTCTCCAGGGCGCAGCCCGTTATTTGTTGTGTCTGTATTCAACTTTTTCAAAAGTCAATTATGTTAAGTTTACCAACTGCTTTAGTATTCCTAGTTTGTTCATTGCATTGAATAGTTCTCTTCTATTCACAGAGTCGTAGGCTGCTTTGTAGTCTATAAATATGTGATGAGTATCTATGTCATATTCCAATGTTTTTTTTTTCGTAAAATTTGTTTCAGGGTTTAAATCTGATAAATTGTTGATTTACCACCTCATTCCATTTGTTTTTCTCTCCATTTTATTTGCTTTACTGGTGTTTGAAATTCTAGCCCTCAATGTTGAGATGACTAGACAATGATCTGAGTCTATCTTTGTACCTCTATAACTTCTGCAGTTTATTATGTCGGTTCCATGCCGTGAATATATTAAGATGTGATTAATCTGACTCTTTGTTCTTCCATCAGGAGAAATTAATATATTTATATATATATATATATATATATATATATATATATATATATATATATATATTGTATGTCGGAATTATCGTTATGAACGGGAGAGATGAAATTAACATATTTAAAGAATTTTAATATTAACAAGTAATAAAACCGAAACTTTAACGGTTTGTAGCCAATAAATATTGTTAATAATCAAGAAGTCGGAAAAATAGACTCATCACCATTACCCAGCCCTTTGCGTCCACTGCTGACATAAAAATAAGGGAGGCCTATGTCATTAATAATTATACTATCTTTAATAATGAAAGTATGAAAATCAAGTATTTTGGCAGAGGGATTTTGGTAAATATGATTGAACAAATTTTAAGGCAAGAAAGGTTATTTGTTGTAAAGCAATTGATGACAGGTTCTGCCTATTGACTATAAACTGTTGGTTTAGAAAAAGCACTTTAATTATAGTCAATACAGAAAAGAATTCAGTCACGGTGCACCAATGCAGAAGCCTGAGTGGAACATTTAAATCAAGTAGGTCCTTAATAGATAGATAGATAGATAGATAGATAGATAGGTTTATTGACAATTTTTACATAGTAAACACTACATGTCATGTCACAATAAAAATAATTTACTTTTGTATACTAAGAACTAAGAAATAATACAAGAACATATAATAAAACATATACAGTGAAAATTAGATATATAAAATTATAACAAATAAGAAAGAAACATTTCAGTAAGGCGTAATATAGTTTTCATTAAAAACGACCACACTAGGAGCTCAAACAAACAAATTCCTGTATACTATAGAAACAGTGTTCCAGCAGGAAGTGTTTTGCTAGTTTATAAAATTGTTTAGAATTCATTGCCTTAATATCAATATTTTTGTTTAAGTTTAAAAAACAATTATACAGATTATAATCTATTGTATTAAGTTGTGTAACACACAATCTGGAATATGGTATAATGATATGACTTTTATTTCTTGTATTGTAATGATGTTGATCAGCATGTGATTTTACATCTTTTATATTATTATGAATAGTTAACAAAGTTTCAAATATATATATTGAAGGTAAAGGAAGAATGCCATACTTCTTAAATAAGGGTTTACAGCTGGCGCGATATTCTGCCGAGTCAATAATTCGGATTGCTGCTTTTTGAAAAGTGAAAACTTTATATGAATAGGACGAGTTTCCCCAAAGAAGTATGCAATATGTCAGGATACTATGAACCTTTCCAAAATAAACTGACCTAAGAATATCTCGACTCACAGAAGTAGCCAATCTGCGCATAGCAAAAATCTGTGAGGCGAGCCCCCTACACAATCGTTCAATATGGTGCGACCAGTTCAACCTTGTATCCATAGTAACACCTAGTAACTTTACTGGTTCAGATGGTGTAACCCATCTATCAGAACTAAATACGATTTTTTGGGTTTTCTGATCGTTTAACTTAGGTTTGTTACAGTTAAACCAGGATTTAGATTTTTCTAATATATCCTGACTGTAATCAGTTTTACCTCTACATAATAAGGTTGTGTCATCTGCAAAAAGAACACAGCTGGTGTTATCCAATGCACTTGATAAATCATTTATATATATCAAGAATAGTAGAAGACCCAAAACTGATCCTTGTGGTACTCCGGTTGAAACTGGTAAAGGTTCAGATTCTTGATTATTAAATGCAACAATCTGTGTTCTTCCTGTAAGATAGGATTTTAAAAGGTCATGTATGGTGCCCCTTATTCCATAGTACTCCAATTTTATCAATAGTGTTTGAATATCTACACAATCAAAAGCTTTTGTAAGGTCACACATTAAGCCATTAGTAGGTTCAATCAAAACCGTGAACAATATGTTCTATTACTTCTAATAAATCTTTAGTTGTTGAGTATTTTTTTCTAAAACCAAATTGAGAGCTAGATATAATTGATTTGTTATCCAAATAATTTGATATACGATCTTTAATTAAGATTTCAAAAATTTTACTTATTGTTGGTACTATGGTAATAGGTCTGTAATTGTCAGGAGCATTTTTATTTCCTTTTTTATGAAGTGGAATTACTTTTGATATTTTGAATACATCAGGCCAGTAACCCTCGTTAATGCATTTGTTAAATATTATTGTGAGTGGTTCAACAATTGTATCAAGCGATTCCTTAATAATTTTACTGTTAAAACCATAGTAGTCAACACATGAGGAATTTTTTAATTTGTATATGCATTCCTTCAAATCAGATGCTACTATTGGAGACATAAAGAACGAACTTGACCTTCTAGGTAGCCTGCTAAGATAGTAGTTTATGTCATGCTCAGAGTCTCCTATTGATTTCGATATAATATCTGCTATATTCGTAAAGTATTGGTTAATTTCTTCTGGTGTTAAGTTCAGATTAGACGTAGTATGTTCCTTATAGGTTTCTTTTTTAACAATACTCCATATTGTCTTACTCCATGTTGTTTTCTTAAATCTCGAAGTTTCTGATTAAACCAATGAATAGCACTTTTTCTGCTATTCATGTTTTTTAAAGGAAAACAAATGTTGTATTCTTCACAACATAGAGGACGAAGAAGAAAAATCTAAAGACGAAAGAGATAAGGTAAGCGAAACAGTCGAAATATGGAGGAGGGACGAAGGGATAGTTTATAAATTTATATATCTACAAGCACTTGTCAACATTGACAATAGCACCACTATAGAAAGTAACCGCAGAATTTGTATGGCTAACATATTATTTTGTTCTAATTCTCAAATATAAGGAATTCAAGAAATGCAAAGGTGAAGCTTTACAAAATAATGAACGCTCATTCCTAACATACAGCTCGGAGACTTGGACTCAAATCAAAGACAAAACGCAATGAAAACAGTTAAGGATGTTTTAAAAGGAAGGTAGTGAGGGAATTTTTTTTGTTTTTTCGTCTTTTATTAGGGCCGTCAAAATGTTCGAAACATATCTCGGTCCTAGAAGGTGGACAAAACCGCCTTTTAACATCAGTTATGTAGGATTCCTCCATCATAACCACGATGGCATCCGAGACCGCACGCAAGGGTTATTTGGACACCATCGTCGTCAATGCTAGAAACGTACCTGCTAAAAATAGAGCCTTCTGAACCATGAATTTCCAGCCGGATCTCCCTGAGTGGGACGTGCCGTCGGCACGGCATTCTTCCGATCTCATATTCACTCACAATTATCACGCATTTTTGCCCTTTCTCACTACGACTGAATTATTATCTCCCTCTGTTCCTCCCTATTTATGTTCAATCTCACCCTTTTTCGTTCTGCCTTATCTTTTTTCTTACTTCTGGGTACCCTGCCTCCCTTCGGGTCACGTTTCTTCTTGTTCCTTTCTCTCCAACGTTTTCTTCACATAAACAATTTTTTAAATTAGTTTCACTTTTTTCCTTCTTCTTTGAGTGCCGTCTCTCTACGGAGGTTGGCAATCGTAATGGCTATTTTTATTTTAGAACTTGCTGTTTTAAACTAATCAATCGATCTGCATTGATACCAATCACGTAGATTCTTTAACCATGAGTTCTGCCTTCGGCCAACAGATCTTCTTCTTTGAATCTTTCCCTAAATTATGAGTCTTAAAATTTCATATTTTGGTCCCCTCATCACGTCGCCTAGGTATTCCAGTTTTCTGGTTTGTTTAGTGGTGATTAGTTCTGTTTATTTACCAACCCTCTCCAGTACTTCTTTATTTGTAATTCTATCAGTCCATAATATTTTTAATACTCTCCGGTATAACCAGAGTTCGAAAGCCTCGATTCTTTTTAAATTGCATTTTTTTAATGTCCAAGTCACAGCTCTATATAATAATATTGAAAATATATAACAGCGAATGGTACGTATTCTAGTCTCCAAATTTAGATTTTTGCACGCTTCATTTGTATAAATGCTGATCTGGCAATCTCTATTCACTTGTTTATTTCTAGAGTATGATCATTGGTTTCATTGATCAAAGTTCCCAAATACTGATATTTTTCTACTTGTTCTATCACGTTACCATTGTATCAATAGGTGATGTATATTTTGTGGTCTTTTTGTAATTAGCATTTACTTCGTTTTTTAGCGTTTATAGTAATTCCCATCTCAGCACTATTCATACTCAAGCTTTCGACAAGATGTTGTAGATCCTCTATACTCGTTGCTATAATCAGAGTGTCGTCTGCATGTCGTATATACGACGTATATCTTGGCTGCGCAATTTAAGAGACTGGTTTCAGTGCACATCTAACCAATTATTTAGAGAAACAGCTTCAAAGATACGAATAGCAATGATGATTGCCAAACTCCGTAGCGGAGAGGGCACTTGAAGAAGAATAGTTACCGAGATATTCTATTTGTTTATAAGCCTAAAAAATTGATTTTAATTTTTTATTAATGATATTTATTAATGTAGTGTTTTTTTTAAAGATCCGCCCTGATTTAGTCTGTAAAGGAGATTCATTAGTATGACCCAGAGTTGAAAAATTTGTCAATATCTAATTATAAATCACACACAAAAAACACACCTCAAGAAACAGGTGCACCCTATTTTGTTTACATGGCTATTAGACTAAACTATGGAGTATTTTTTGACATCCTACTTATATTAAATATTCAATAATCAAATTATCTATTACCTATTAGCTATATTTCGAAAGGTTTCTTTAAACGTCCTGTCATTAATCATCTCTAGGAACTCTTCAAAATCAAGTTGTCTATCTTTGTTGGTGTCGAATTTATTATACAGGCATTCCAAAACATTGTCTGGAATATCGATGTGTTCTTGAGTTTCCAAGAAAGTTTTTAATTCGAATATGCTTACAAGACCGTCTTTATTTGCGTCGCACTGAAAAAAAAAACTAATTAAAACAGTTTTGGTTACCTACAATATTTAATGTTTCTTTTAACATACCCAAAACCTACATTCATCTAACGAAATAGAAATCGATCATTACAAAAGTATAGTACGTCTACAACATACTAGTTTTAATTGATTTAGATCACTTTTTCATTTTTAATACTAGAGATAATAACATATTAGAGATTCTAATAAGTAAGATTAATAATAATAAAAGAAAAATTTCCTGTGGGAGTTTTTGTCAGTTCTTCTATCAGGCGCGGCCCCCTGCGAATGGGGGATGCTATCTGAGTATTCTTAGAACCGATACCCAGAGGGTAGCAGGGATACCTGCCGTGGAACAAAAACTGACACCTGGCAGTAGGTATAAAATGCACACCCATGAAAATGGAGTTTAATAATTTATGTTTAGGGTCGCTGCCAGGGGATCGCCAGGGCACGTCTGGAGCCGGCGCTGGACGTGACAGCATGCGGGACGTCGGGGCAGGGTGTTGAGGAGGTGGGCCCCTGTCATACAATCAGCTCCAGCCCAACAACAAGGAGAACCACAAATGAGCCAAACAGCAACATGAGCTCCACTCGCTGAAAGTGCTGAGCTGGAACATCAGCCGGCGCTCACTCAAGCGGGACGATCGAGGCAGCGTATAAATGGACTGTGTCCATGAACGAAAATATTTTGCGCTTTTATTATAAGGTGACAATCCTCGGTCAAGAAACGATCGGCTATCGGCAACAACTTTATGCCGAATTTTGCAGGGAGTGCCCAGAAATCCAAGTATTTGAACAAAGAGTAGCAGACCAATACCGGATAATTTTAAGAAACAATCTTATCCCAGAGACTAGACGCGACATTATCAGAAGCGAAATTGAACGGGAGATCCATAACCAAGAGCAAGTTGCAGACAAAGTCCCTAATGAAATCCCTGAAACTCAACATAATAATACGCAGCAGGACAACAATGAGTTGCGCGATAGCCTGGTAAACGAGATGGCTCGCGCCGTACTAGATTTTAGTGGAACAAACCCACTTAGCAGAGCACCGCTACCAAAAATAAACTCTTCTAAGAAACTAGGAGTGCTGTTACAAATTGTGAATACTGAAGTCCTACCCAATTATATCACAGAAGCTCACACATTATAATATTTGCATATGCTGATTTACTGTGCAGCAACAGCAATTGCTAATGTTATGGACATTAAGATCAGGACACGATGGTAACAGAATAGCACCCTGGGAAAAACGACTGCTTAGGAAAATTGGAGGAGGGCATAAGAGGAGTAAGAAGTAGAAAAATCATTAAAAGAGCTAAAGAAATATTTTTAACACTCTAAGACACTCACGACATGATCAAGAAAACAATACACCTCAACAATGCCTGGACACATTAAAACAAAAACTATCTGTTTACTAAGGCTGTCTAAGGAGGTACAAAGTTATTAACAACCGGAAATGCGGTAATGCGAAGACTTTCTATAGGAAACTTAATTTCACTGTAGAAAATGCAAATAAATCCTAGCCAAGCCAAGAACAAATTCATGTGTTTTGGGGAAACCAACTTTCTACGCCAGCTACTCATAACAACAATGCTGGATGGATTGAAGAAACGAAGAACAACTGTTAACACTACAATAATATTCACATGAACGTTTGACCACTGAAGAAGTCTCGAAGATTTTTAAAGAACATCATAAATGGAAATCTCCTGGACCAGACGGAGTTCAAAACTTCTGGCTAAAGAAGTTTTGGAGTGAGCATGAGATTTTAACAGTATTTATTAATACTATTATTTCTAATTCACAGGAAATACCATCATTTCTTACTCAACGAACCACTTATCTAATACAGAAGGATCAAAATAACACCCAAGATCTAGCCAAGTACCGCCCAATTACTTGTCTTTCAACTTTGTACAAATTGGTCACATCCTGTATGGCCCGGCGTATCTACCAACACTGTGCTCTGAACAATATCATAGAGCCTCAACAGAAAGGATGCGCTAAGGGCTCCATGGGCTGCAAAGAACAACTTACTATCGACTCAGTCATTTCTAACCAGGCATATACCAAAAAAGAAACCGTTTTACTGCCTTCATTGACTACAAGAAGGCCTTTGATTCAGTGCCGCATGAATGGCTTATAGATATATTAAAAATATATAAAGTCGATAATAATATTGTGACCTCTTTAAAACATATAATGGCGGAGTGCAAGACTAAAATTCACCTTCACATACCTGGTGAAAATAATATCGAAACTGAAGATATTCTAATCAACCGGGGCCTTTTCCAGGGGGATTCGTTGAGTCCACCTTGGTTCTGTTTAGCGATGAACCCACTATCTCAGCTGCCGAACTCCACTGACTCAGGTTTTAGCATCAACAATAACAATACTGTTGTGGCGAACCGTAATCATCTGATGTATATGGATGATTTGAAATTAATGGCTTCCATTAGAAACCACCTAGATCAGATGCTAAAAATTGTAGAAACTTTCTCAAATGATATCAGTATGCACTTTGGACTAGACAAGTGCCGGATACTAAATAGACTCAGAGGAAAGGTTCAGTCCGGAGGTTTCGATATGCAAGATGGCCAAAACATCGAGGCAATGGGTGAAAATTATATGAACAAATATCTCGGAGTACACCAAGCACGAAAAATTGACAATAAACTAATGAAAACCAAACTAACTTTGGAGTTTGTAAGAAGGGTACAACAGATAAATCGGTCATATATTAATATCAAACATTTGTTTAAGGCATTAAATACGTACGCCTGTTCCGCGCTTGGCTACTCATTTGGTATTATCAAGTGGTCAGACACAGATATAGAAAGTTTCCAGAGAAAAGTAAAAACACTTCTCACAAAGGCGCAAAAACACCATCCACGCAGTGGAGTAGAAAGAACAACATTACCAAGATATCAAGGAAGAAGAGGACTTATCGATAAAGGTGAGCAACTCGATAAACAGATTGCTAATTTAAGAACTTATTTTCAGGTACATGCAGAGATATCTACTTTACATCGAGAAATTTGCACAGTAGATGATACAACGCCGCTTAAAATAAAGGAACAAGAAATACGCATAAACCACCGGACTAAGCAAGAAAAAGTGCGCACCTGGATGAGTAAACCTTTGCATGGGCGACATCTCAATGAGATCAGCCAAGAATATGTCGACAATATAGCGTCAAACTATTGGTTGACATCAGGAAAGATATTTTCGAGACTGAAGGTTTCTTACTTGCCATTCAGGATCAGGTTATTCCAACCAAAAATTACCTGAAATATATTTGTTAAAGATCCTTAAGTCCAAAAATGGCAAATGCCGATATGGATGCCAAGACCAAGAAACCATCCAACATCTTACCGGTGGCTACCAGGCATTTATCGGTACTGATTAGAAAGAACGCCATGACTCACTAGGAAAGATTATCTACCAAGAGCACTTGCTGACAAACTGGGATTTCTCCAAACTGACCATCTTCTTGATTATCAATACATCCCTGAGAGAATGCTTGAAAATGCATTAAAAATCTATACTGGGACCCCAATGTGCTCACAGACCAACCAGTGGCATATAATAGACCAGATCTCATACTAGTTAATAAACTTACTAGGCAAACAACACTTATTGATGTGGCGGTACTTAACACCAATAATTTGCGTGTTAAAAACGAAAAGATTGATAAGTACAGAGATCTAGAAATACAAATTAGGAGACAGTGGAGAATGGAAAGCACTCAGACAGTACCTATTATTCTATCTACTACTGGTGTTATTCCCAAAAATCTCCTAGAGAACATAAAACAACCGAGTTTAAAAGAACACCTCTATAAGGCCATGCAGAAAGCTGTACTCCTCGCGACGTCGAGATGTGTACGAATATTTTTGGGAGATACTCCAGCATAACAAGTCACCTAGGGCTCGATAACATGGAAAAAGTCCCACCAGAGCTCAATCCTTTTGATAGCGTGGGTATCTGGAATAAGTGAATTTAATGATAAAGAAAAAGAAGAACCCTTTTCACAAAGACACAGAATCATTATCCTCGCAATGTAATAGAAAGACAACATTACCTCCGTACCTGGGAGAACGAGGACTTATGGATAGACGGATAACTTATTTTCATAACCAAGCTGAGACATCTACGTTAAATCTTGCAATTTGCGCAGTAGATGACACAACACCCATTAAACTGAGGGAATAATAAATTCGCATAAACCATTGATATGATGGAGAAAAAATGCGCATCTGTATGGGAAAACTTTAACGTAGTCGCTATCTCAATGAAGTTTACCAATAATATGTCAACAATATTGCGTCGAACCATTGGTTTTGCTAGGAAAAATGTTTCCTAAAAATTATAATTTCCTACTTGGAGTTTAGAATCAGGTAATCTCAAGCAAAAACTACCTGAAATATATTATCAAGGACATCAGGTAAAAAACGACAAATGCGGATGTATATATTAAACCAAACGAACTATCCACATCTTACTGGAGGTTTCCAGGCACTTATCGTGTGATATTCTTTGATTTGATTATAAAGAATGACATGACTTACGGGAAAGACACTTTATTAAAAATTAGTCAACCAGATGGGGCTCCAAACCAATCGTGACATCACCGATCATGAACAATGACTGCAGGCTATATGCTAGACCATAAGACATACTACGCTCACAAACCAACCAAAGAAACATGGACAGTGGATCTAACAAGTTTGTTTGTATTCCTATATAAACTGTTACTGAAAACCCACAGATGGTATATTTCAATATTTTCACAAATCTTGGATATTTTTGTAAATAACGTTTAGATTTTATATAAAAAACATTCTATGATATTGATTTAAATGAAGATATTGCTGTTCAAAAAAAAGAATAAAAACTAGTTTAAACTCTGGCCAGAAGGCGATTTGATAATTTCGATTTGACATTTTTCACAATTTTCCACATAAGGGCCGATGCCGTAATTGCCTAAATAC